CAATGTGGTATACTGCATCCGCTGTACCCGGTGTGGCTTCCTCTACATCGGGGAAACCAAGCGGAGACTCGGGGACCGCTTTGCAGAACACCTACGCTCGGTTCGCAACAAACAACTGCACCTCCCAGTCGCGAACCATTTCAACTCCCCCTCCCATTCCTCAGACGACATGTCCATCCTGGGCCTCCTGCAGTGCCACAACGATGCCACCCGAAGGTTGCAGGAACAGCAACGCATATTCCGCTTGGGAACCCTGCAGCCCAATGGTATCAATGTGGATTTCACAAGCTTCAAAATCTCCCCTCCCCCTACCGCATCCCAAAACTGGCCCAACTCGTCCCCGCCTCCCTAACCTGTCCTTCCTCCCACCTATCCCCTCCTCCTACCTCAAGCCCCACCCCCATCACCTACCTACTAACCTCATCCCGCCCCCTTGACCTGTCCGTCCTCCCTGGACTGACCTATCTCCTCCCTACCTCCCCACCTACACTCCCCTTTACTGGCTCCATCCCTGCCTCTTTGACCTGTCTGTTTCCTCTCCACCTATCTTCTCCTCTATCCATCTTCTATCCGCCTCCCCCTCTCTCCCTATTTATTTCAGAACCCCCTTCTCCTCCCCCATTTCTGATGAAGGGTCTAGGCCCGAAACGTCAGCGTTCCTGCTCCTCTGATGCTGCTTGGCCTGCTGTGTTCATCCAGCTCTACACTTTGTTATCTCAGATTCTCCAGCATCTGTAGTTCCTACTATCTCTGACTGCAATAAGTTTGGTTTTATCTGAACTTTTTTCATGCAATTTAAAAGCTCGCATAAGATTTGTGCTTGGAGAACACAACAGACTCTCTAGTTTTTGCACTTAACAGCACCACTGAGTGCTTGTGTGTCAAGATTTGGAATGAACCTCTGTTACAATGTTATAGTTAAGCGATATTTAACTGTTGCTTGGCTTACAAAGATGATCAATATTAACTGCGATTTTTATATTGTGCTTTATTCACAGACAAGTTACAGAAAGAAATTCCACTTTGTCTAAATATTATTAGCACAGTTATGAAGCCATTTTCACTTAAAGATTGGCTCTGTCAGCACAGTAAGGATATTAAAGAAAAGCGAGTTGTTGACATGTTTGGTGATCAGTTTGAGACCAAGGTGAAAGAAAGACTTTAATTCTGTTACAAGTTTGTCGAGCTTGGTTGTAATAATTCACATTATCATCACATGTGCCTGTTAATTATGAAGTGCCTGTTTGTGTGGTTCTGACAGACGGTGGTTTATGGAACTGGAGAGAGTGAGGAAAAGCAGAGTGCAGACACCTGGATATGGCAGCTGGTAAGAGGCTTTAATATTCGTCCCATAATATTTTGCTGACATTCTTAAGCATGAATCAAATCTAGCTTTCAGTTCTTCCATATGCTTTCAAAGTAAAGTTCAATTTTGCCTCATAGTTGACAGGCAGAGCTACTGCAGCCTAAAGATGTATCTTTGTCTAGGTGCCAGTGGTGTAAACAGTTCACAAATGGCTGGCACCATATGGTCCATACTGAAGGAAATCACTGTCACATAATGCCATGACTTTCTAAAGCTACAGCTAAGGTGTTTATCAGCTGTACAGGCAGAACACAAGCATAGAGAAAAAACATATCAAAAAAGCATAAAAAACATAGAAAATAGGAGCAACAGTAGGTCATTCAGCCTTTTTGAGACTGTTCCGCCATTCAATATTTGGATCATCATCTTATTCAGTACCCTGTTCTCACTTTCACTCCATACCCTACGATCCCTTTAGCCCAGAGAGGTATATGTATCTCCTTCTTGAAAACATTCAATATTTTTGCCTCAAATTGTAGAATCCCTACAGAGTGGAAGCAGGCCATTTGGCCCATTGAATCTACACCGACCCTCCAAAGTGCATCCCACCCAGCGCCCCCCCCCCACCCTATCCCTGCATTTCCCATGGCTAATCCACCTAGTCTACACATCCCTGGATACAGTGGGCAACTTATCATGGCCAATCCAATTAACCTGCATATCTTTGGACTGTGGGAGGAAACCGTAGCACTCAGGAAACCCACACAAACACGGGGAGAATGTACAAATGCCACAGACAGTCACCTGAGGCTGGAATCGAACTCAGGTCCCTGGCAATGTGAGGCAGCATGCTAACCACTGAGCCACCTCTTGCTTTCAGTGGCACAGAATTCCAAAGGTCACCACTCTCTGGTGAACAAATATGTTCTCATCTTGATCCTAAATGGCCAACCTGTAACCTTAGACCGTGACCCCTTGTTCTAGACCCTGCAGTTATCAGGAACATCATTCCTGCATTTATCTTGCCTAGTCCTATCAGGATAATATAGGATTCTATGAAAATCACCCCTGCCCTCAATTATTCTAAACTCCAGTAAATATAGCCCTATCCAATCCAATCTCTCTTCATACATCAGTCCTGCCACAGCAGCAATCAATCCAGTAACCTTCATTGTGCTCCCTTCAGAGCCAGAAAATCCTTCCTCTGAGAAGCAAACCAAAGCTGCACACAACACTCAGGTTTGGTCTCACCAAGGTCCTATTCAGTTGCTGCTCCCGTACACACACGCTGTCACAGTGAAAGCCAACATACCATTTGCCTGCATGTTTACTTACGGAAGGATGGGAAATGAGGTATGCCAGCCTTAGGCATGTTTCTGCCCAATACTTTGAACACAATTTTCATCTGGTAGTGTTTTGTGTGCTACATTGCACATTTCATGTCAAATCTTCAGTAAGAGCTTTAGATGTTTACATGAATACCTGGCACAACCTGCCAAGTTTCTTCCTTGGGTCTTTTCTTCCCTTTATTCAAAAAGCGCTTCAAAGACAAAAAAGAAATCCCAGGTACATTAGCATAGTTTTTTTCCTTCCACACTTCCAGTCAATTTTTCACACTGCATTATTAATTTTTCAATCATTCTAAATTGTGCATTCATTATTTTGAGAGCAGTTTTTTCTTAATTTACTCATTGCACATGTCTATTTTAAAATATCCCAAATAAACTAATCCAATTTTTTCTACATAGTCATCCGAAAGGCAATTAGATCTTGTGATCAGTCGCTAATGTCTGGAGCGTCCTTGGCCAGACAAGCCAGCAAATTGAATAGAGATGCTCTCCTTCTGTTTTGGCCTTCACTGGACTTTACACTAACGATCTACAATATGTGGCTCAGTATTGTGATGAATTCTCGTGCTGCAGGAGCCAACATTCAGTGAACATTGTACCATCAGGGATACACACACTTCCAAAGTATTAGTTACATTCAATTCTGCCCAGCAACAGTGCCAGGATCTGTTGTATGGCTTTCAGTAGGTCACTCAGGACAGTTTGGGACTCACTGAAGAGGAGTTCAAAGTTGACCGGCAGTGAGACTAAAAGATGGTGTGGTGGGTGGTGGAAAAGCAGATTCCATGTTAGATGTCATATCGGACTTGAAACATTACCTCTGTTTTTCTGGTTTTATTTCAAATTTCCAGCATCCATAGTACTTTGCTTGTATCCATTTTAGGCAGGACTGCTAAAGCAGTTGAACTACATGGGTTCTGTGAAATGCTGAGTCAGGAACACCTAAAGGAATTCAGTACATGTGTTATGAGACCTCAGGGGAGTCCTAGAAGCTCTGAAACGCTAGCCTGCATTCAATATTTAGTCAGCTGAGCTTCATGGGCTCAGTGTAATTGTGTTCATAGAAGTCATAAAGCAGTTGAACACCTCTGTGTAGTCAGGGCCCAGAGAAGTTCTAGGAGTTGTGAAGGGCTGAAAAGAAACCAATCCACAATTAGTTCAGTACAGCAGAGAGTGGGGGTTGAAATCCCACAAGTAGTATTTGCTTTGTGCAACTGAGCAAAACTAGAGGTCAAGAAAACCCAGGGACAGTACCAGCCTAGTGGAGCTCACTGCTTATGAAAAGCTGGAGTTGTGCTGTGAGTAAATGTTGGAGTACAGTTTCCAATTGTCCAGGGGCATATAATCCCATGAAAGAAAGATGGAACACCAGAACATAAACAGTCAATCAGATAGTCCATGGATAAAGTGGCCATTGAAGGAATATCAAGGCCAGGTCATTGACAGCGGAGCATCTCATTCTGTTGTGAAGTTTTGATGAGAATTGCACAACCTGTCTATCTTCTCTCCTACCTATCCGCCCCACCCATCCCACTGACCAATCCCCACCACTCCCTACCTGCACGCACCTATCACCATCCCATCTACCTCCCCCAGCCCTTCCCACCCCTCCTCTCCATTTATTTCTGAGCTCCCTTCCCCCCCGACCGCCGCCACATTTCTGAAGAAGGATCCTGACCCGAAACATCAACTTGCCTGCTCATCTGATGCTGCCTGGCCTGCTGTGTTCCTCCAGCTCCACACTGTGTTATCTCTGACTCCAGCATCTGCAGTTCTTACTATCTCTCGCCAACTCAGTGTTGTTTACCTCAGGGGGTGTAGGGGTGGGAGTGGTTGAATTGCCAAGAAATCCATGAGATCTGTTTATCATATTCACTGTTACATTCTGTGGTGTGTTTAACTACATTTACTTCATGTTAAGTTTGCGACTTTAGAATATTAAGTCACACCTAAATACAGTCTAAATCTGATCCAATGCATATCACACCATTTGTTCCGTAGCAACAGGAGGGATGGAGATTTTAAATGACTAGTGTGTTAAGGTTGTGGGTGGTGAGGAATGCAAAGAAGTCGGTAAAGGTATCCCTATCACTGAACAAAATGCATGGACAAGAGAGGCTAAGACAAATGTTGTGATCAAGGGTGTGGCTATGATGTTAGGAAGGGGAATTTATTTGGAGTTCCAGTTTAAAGGAAGAAAGGAGGACAGTAGGAAAGTTGGGCTGAGATGGAGACTGAGATTCCTGAGGAGTTGTTCAATGCAGAGGTGAAAGAGTTTCCATGAGGTTTGTGAGGCAGTAAACAATAAAGATTTTAAAGAAGTGTGAGTGAAACAATATGAGGGCTTGAAGGAGGGGAAGATGCAACCAAGCAGGGACAAAAAAAAGGTGACATGGCGATGGTTGTCACTTCGCCAATTCATGGTGCTAGGGACTATAAGTAAATGGTAAAAACATTGTGGTATTAGAATATATTTACTTGAGCCATGAAATGTGCCTTTGAACCCTGCTGGCATACTGCAACATTCGTGAAGATATGATTACCATGGACTGTAAGTCTCAATTTGACCACCTGAGGGCACTTTTGCTTTTTTGCAGTCACATGAACTTTGAAGTGGCTTGTGTTTTAAGCAACTCCTCTATTTGACTGAGATGGAATGTTTTCATGTCTTTCCCGAACACTTGAACATATTTTGTACACAGTTGATTTATTTTGTTTCAGCGGAGACTGAATTCGGAGACCAGAATCTCTCGCGTTCACAAGTGCTCATTGGCCTTGACAACATGTGCCACCTGGGTATTTTAAAGATATATAAGGCAGATGACAACCAAACATAATCATGATTTCTACATAAAGACGGCTTTTCAATGTATTCCCTTTTTCAGGAGGGTAAATCTGTTGTGGTGATCGATGGTGAAACTACTAACCTGACTGCTGGAGATAGCCTTCTCATCCCATTAAAGACTAAGTAAGTGTTTATGTGAAGACATTTGGACATCTAACATTATTAGATTCACAGTACACATACTGGAGGTAACAAACCTCTTAGTTTAACCATGCTATTGGTTCCATTATTCCTGCACCTCCTGCTACAAAAACAATCGATCATGGAAGCAGAAAGTGAAATTAATGAGGCGTTATAGTGGCGGTGGTGGACCTTATGAAATTATGTTCTGGATATTAAGACACAAGCTCACCCATAATCAGTTGAAACTCTTAAGGAGCCAGTTATTAACCATTTGAAGGGCCTCATCTGCCTGGGCTGCAATTATTTTAGCTCCAGGTGGATGAGATCGGTTCACCCATCAGGTAGGCTAAATCTATGTGAACAGCTGGTGAGGGTGTTCTTCAATATGTTCTCACAATGGAGGGACAGAACTTTGGAAAGGGGGTGTCTAATGATAGTCAGATTTGCCCTAACTTTCTAACCCCTCATCCCCTTCTTCTCTTGACCCCAAACCCCGGAATCACTCCCCATCCCGCTCAAAAACACTTACTTTTCCTGTGGGTTATCCTCCAATCTGCGAGTGTGATTTGGGAAACACGGAGCTGCTGGCCACAAATTGGCAAGCAGCTCTTGGCAACCAAGATCTGCATGTTCCGGGTCCTGATTCCTCAAGCCCACGCAACCAATCAGCTGCCTGATTGCGACAAGATCTGACAGGCTTCCCTATCTTGAAAGGCCTTAGCTTTCTCTTGTCCAAACTCTCCCAATTTCGAACTTAGTCCAGAATAAAGGAAGATCCCAATCAGTGCTCCCATGGACAGAAATGAGAATTTTCTGGTTTTTAACAGAAAGTACTGACAGATTTGAGAGACCTCAGAAGAACCTGTTTTTTTATATTAAGCTATCTGTTTTACTTATTCATAGGATGTGGGTATCTCTAGCTAGGCAAATATTTATTGACGTCCTCTATGGATCTGGATTCATATGTAGGACAGACCTGGTTGGGATGGCAAATTTCTCCTTCCCTAAGAGGTGTTGGTGAGCAATGTGCATTCTTACAACAACACCTAGCTCTGTATTCCAGCATTTCATCAAATACAGATTTCCTCTATCTGTCTTAGGAGCCATTTACCCTAATCATTATTCTGGAGGTCTGGACAGTGAGTCCAGTGACACTACTACCAAACACTAGCTCCTCTTACTCTGCATTTATATGGATCCCAATCAAACTATTTCCACAACCACCACCACCTCATTTTTTTATTTCCCTCCTTTCCACATATGAGTCTGCAGTCATCAGTCCCTCTCTTATTATCTTTCCCATGGGACACTGAATGTAAATAAGTAGTTGAGGCCTGCTGGAGCCAATTCTATTCTTGTCTAAATATCCCACTTTCCTGCTGGGTCAGTGGATAATGATCAGAAGTGAAAACCCAGCCCAGTTATTTTTCTCACCCACTAGCTAGCCCAAGATTCCAAGAGTCATTACAACTGTCTGTTTTAGTCATGACAAGAATACCACCTTGACTGAGATAGCTGTATAAAACTTTAGTTAAGCCACACTTGGAATATTGCGTACAGTTCTAGTTGCTACATTACCAGAAGGATGTGGAGGCTTTGAAGAGAGTACAGAAATGGTTTACCAGGGTGTTGCATGGTTTGGAGGGTAGTAGCTGTGAGGAGAGATTGGATGATCTGTTTGTTTTCACTTGAACCTCAGAAGCTGAGGGGTAACCTGATAGAGGTTTCCAAAATTATGAGAGGCATGAATAGAATGAATAGTTGGAGTCTTTTTCCCCAATGCAGAGAGGGTGGTAAGTGCCTGGAATGCACTGCCAGAGGAGATGATAGAAGCAGATACAATGGCAAAGTTTGAGAGGCCCCTTGACAGACACATGAATAGGCAGAGAATAGAGGGATACAGACTGTGTAGAAGCCAAATCTTTTTAGTCTAGAGAGGCATCATGTGTTGTTGCAGGCTTGGTGGGCCAAAGGACCTGTTGCTGTGCTCGTTGTTCTTTGTTCTTTGAGATCATTCAACTCCTGCAAATTCCTGCTTTCCATGTGCCAGAAATAAAAACCAGCTGGCTGTATTATCAGCACTGAAATAAAGAATGCATGTTGGTTTCATCCAACCTTTCTATTCTTTGTACAAGGTATATATGGAAAAGAGCTGAAGAAACGGTTGCGCTTTGTGTCGTACAGGATCCAGCACTGAAGAAATCCTATGTTAAATAACAGTTCTGCAGGCACAACATTTTCTTTACCTGTTTCATTTCATTGCACATGTAATCATTGGAATAATTTTAAGTGAATCCTCTCATTTACTGTGATTGCATTTTTTTGAATTTTGGATAAAGAGTGAATCGCAGGTTAAAAGAATGAAAATCTTCAGATGTTCTAAAAACAGGTACATAGGAGAGGGATTTTAAAAAAGGCCCTCCGTTGGTCATTATATGAGTTGAATCTGAAGAATGAGCTGCTGTATCTCTGAGACATTTGATTCACACTGGAATCTGATCTGAACTTGATCGACAAAATCTGGCAATTATTGTTTTTTAATGTAATAATGCAATAGTTAGTAATTAATCAATGTGGTTTGCATTATGTATCAACAATGCAAGGAAATTCAACTGATTGTGGAACATAACTTAAATAAAAATATTATTCGTATAATGCTTGATCCTTCTTGCAAGCAGTAATTCAACACCCAAGTGTAGGGTTGACCTGAAGCAAGTTTGGAATGCAGAGGAGATACAACGTGCATATACCTATAATTTTTATATCAGTTTTTACAATGCATTTGTTTCTATTTTATTAATATTTAAGTAGCAAAGTAAAATGGAATTTGGGAAACAGTAGGAAATTGGGTGGCACAAAGCTGAGGCAGTTCGGTACCACTGCTGCTGGGAAACTATAATTACAGTACCCTGTTTAAAGAGACAATTTCTATTTTAAATGTGGGCATAAGAATTTACATTGCAACAAGGTTTTTGTGGAAATGCATTACAAACATAATGGCAATAATGTTCTATATATAATGGTCACAGATGTATGATTTTTAATATGGAAAGAAAATACTTAGCAGCTTTCATACCTGTAGATTGCCCCAAAGTACTTCACAGTTATTTGAATTATAGTCACTATTGATAGGTAAGCAAATGTGGTAGTTAATTTGTACACAACTATGTCCCAAAACAGCATTGCAATAACAACTAATCAATCTTGTCTTTTTGGTATCAGTTGATTGGTACATTTTTCCCATTAACAGCTCCTTTCCCTTCAACTAATCTATTGAGTTTTATTCCTTTGATTCTCTACTTTATTTTAATAGTTATTCAATGTCGTATTTCTTTCTGACCTTGGTTAAGGGTGTCAGCTAAACAAACTTAAACACTACTTTTATTTGCCACCAAAATGATTTCATTGAGTCAGCCCATTGACAGTCAGCTTGTTCAATGTTTGCATAAATATTCATTCTCTTTCTCAGCAAATGCAAGTTCACAGATATTAACTAATTTGTCTTACAATTCCACTCAGGCTTTCTATTTAAAAGTGCATTGTTCAGACCAGAATTAATACAAATTATAATAGCTTTGAGAAAGAAATAATAAATTCTCTTCTGCTGAATAAACAAACTGCTCCATTATGTGATCTTGTAGTGGTTTACAGTGAGAAACATTATCCCAAAATTCAGTATCAAATGAACTCTACAGCAAACATTTCTGGAAGAATTGTCAATTGTCTAAATTCAGAACTTGGTATGTAGAATGCTCCCTTTACCCAAGTGATGGCACAGTTCTTCTAGTTCCCCATCACCCCCACCTTCCTCTTTCTGTCATCAGTTGCTTTGCTATTCTTGATTTTGCGTTCCCTGTCTGATTTATATTTTAAGAAAAAAGATCAGAACCTTAACCCCACTTTAGTAGATATAAAAATAAATATCTATTTTATTAATATTTAAGTAGCAAAGTATAACGGAATTTGGGAAACTGTAGGAAATTGGGTGGCAATTCCCAATATTTAATCGAAGACCATATTTAATTCACTTGCCATACATGACATTGGGAAGACTGAAGCCAATATTTTTGGAAGCACCTACAATCTCTACTTAACAATTGAATAGATGCCATTCCCCAGCAACTGAACTGGTACATTGCAAAAGGAAGACATCAAATAATAATATCTACATTTTGGATTCATGATGATCTCCTGCCTTATCTCCATAACGCTGAACATTAGTGGCAAGAGACAGAGGATAGTGATCGAAGGCTCTTTGTGTGACTGGAGGCTTATGTCCAGTAGCCTACCACAGGGATTGGCACTGGGTCCCTTATTGTTTATGATATATAAACAATGTAGATGAAAACGTGGGGTGAGAGTGGTAAGTAAGTTTGTGAATAACATGAAGATTGCTTGGGAGGAAGAAGATCTTAACTTCCAGGAGGATATGAACAGATTGGTCAGATGTGCTGATCAATGGCAGATTGAATTTAATCCTGTTAAGTGTAAGGTGATGGATTTTGGAAAACATAACAACAGGACAAGGGAGTACTCAATGAATGGCAGGAAACTAGGAATCTCAGAGGAACAGAAGGACCTTGGGTTATTTGTCCACAGATTCCTGAAGGCGGCAAGACAGTTTAATAGGGTAGTTAAGGCATACAAGACACTTACCTTTATCAGTGGAGGCACAGGTTATAAAGAGCAGACTTGGGCCATTCAGCCCATTAAGTCTGCCTCACCATTTGATCACAGCTGATATGTTTCTCAACTCCATTTTCCTGCATCCTCCCCATAATCCTTGATCTCCTTAGTCATCAAAAATCAATCTATCTCTGTCTTAAATACTCTCAATGACTTCCACAGATTAAAAGCCCTTTAGCTGAACAAATTCCTCAACATCTCAATTCTAAATGGTTGTCCCTTCACCCTGAGGCTGTGCCCCTCGGTCCTAGTCTGTCCTACTAGTGGAAACATGTGTGCTCCACTTGATTTTGCTCTCATCATTCCTTATCTAATCTACCACTGTAATGTTCTCTTGTCTTCTCCCTCTTCCCTCCTCTCTCTGTTGAGCTTCCCCCCCAAATGTTTCAGTACTATTCCCTTTAACCACATCCTGTGATGGAGAGCTCCACATCCTCCGAATAAAGAAGATTCATCATGTGGACCTCTTGGTCAATATCTTGCACTGATGGTCTCTAGTTACACTGCTCCCCCAAAAATGAAACATTGTCTATATCCTCTCTGTTAAAACCTTTCATCATTTTAAAGACCTTTAATAGGTTTTCTTTTATGAAGGGAGAATATAAACCCATGTTGTCAATCCTTTCCTGATCTGTAAACCCATAAATATCTAGTATCATCATTATTAATGTTTGCTGCAACCTCTCAAGTTCCTCGATAACCTTTTTAGTAGCATGATTGCCAGAACTGTACAGGGTACTCTAAGTGTGGTCTAACCAAGGTTTGATACCAGTTGTGGATAATATCCCTACTATTCCCTATGGCATTTCTATGCCTCTAGACATATAATATGGGACTCATTAATATACATCTACATTTCAGAACAGCGAAGTTCCACTGTGACAAAAGTTCCAGACATATTCAATTTCAGGTAAAACAAAGAACAGTCCAGGAGCAAATTGGCAATTGAAGAGGGTCTGATCAGGTTGCAGTCAATATTTTTCGCTGAATGGATTTCCATTTTAACCAGATTTGCAGTTGTGATGTTTTAATCACAAATTGAAAGTAAGAGAGATGCTGTGACACACACATGAAGTCCAGAAATTGATGTGATGAACAGACTGGGTTTTGTGTTTAGTGAATCCAGGAGTGTTACCTTTCCTGGATACCAAGGTTAGGAAAGACATTCTGGGAGATTTGAGGAGTTGCAACTTTGTGCCTGAGGGTGATTTAAAGGATGAGAACTAAAATAAGCTCAAGGTAGAAAGGAGAAAAGATTCTATTCTGGATGTGATTCACAGCAACAAGTACAAAACTCAGCTCTGCAGCATGTGTTTCAACCTGATCCTGAGGCAGGTTGTTTGCAACCTTGGTGTCCCATATTATTCTAAGATAAACATCCAACCCCATATCTGCTCTATTACCAAGGCAGCCACCTTCTCTCTTCGTGATATCATCTTTCTCTGCCCTCATTTGCTGCTGAAATCATATCATCTTTGCTATGGCTTGACTATTACAATTCCTCCACAAACATGAGTTCATCCAAAACTGTGCTTCCTGCATCCCACCCACACCAAGTCTATTTGCCCGATCACCCTCTGCTTGCTGATCTGGCCTCACCCTTCTCTATTTCTGTAATGTTTTCCATTCCCACAGACGTCCAGGTTCTCTTCACTTACTATTGTTCTATCATTGAACACCAAGCACTTAACAGCCACAATTCTAAACACTGGAATTTCCTCCCTAAATCTCTTTGCCTCATTACCTCCTTTAAGATGCTTCTTAATACCTGCTTCTTTGACGAATATTTTGGTTACTATTTCTTAAGCAACCGATGTGACTCATTGCCAGATTTTGAGGCAATTTCATTATGTTAAAGTTGATATATAAATAGAAGTTGTTGTTGTAGAAAGTGAGTTTAGAGGAAAGAAATCATCTAAAGGAGTTTATGAAAAGATAAAGCCTTGCAATAAACCTGAAAAAGCTACTGTTTAGTATTTATTAAAGGAAGATGAAAGCATCCTAAAGGGAAACCAAGCAGCAGGGTTTTTTTAAAGAAATAAATATCTACAATTTATAGAATATTGAGTGCACAGATTGGAGAATAGTCTAGACACAAAATGCCACCCCGAAGCTCTCTGTGTCCTTTAAAAACATTTATTAAAAAATGGCTTAAAAACTTGCCATGTTGTGTCTAGTCTCCTTCTGATCATACACTCCCTAAATATATTATGTTTTAGGCTGAAGAGCATCCCTAGAGTCAGTAAGACTTTGCACAGATCCTTTACTGTATTGCTGTGTTCCAGTGGATGAATGGATTTAAACAGAAAGCAGCTCTGACTTCCATCTTAAACACTTGCTGTGTAATTGACTATGCTGTGACCTTTTGAACTTTACAAATAATGAATTGATAATGCAGCAATTTCAGTCTTGGCTTCATTGAGGTCAAACACATTGCCATGGGATCAATGACAAGTCAGTGGAAGATTCATCCAGAGCTCTTCAAACCACTCAGATTAGACTAATATTAATATTCATAAATAAAACTGGGTTTACTTTGTTCATTCATGCAAGGTGGATGTCACTGGCTTCTTCTTTGGCAAAGTTCCTCATGAACAGAGATGACTTGCTTCCAGTCCAGGTGGGTGTGGGTCCTGCGGTGGCTGAGTAATCCAATTTTGGAGTTGCAAACTCTGCTACAGAAGGGACAGGTGGTGTTTGAAGTGAGAAGGTAGGTGGGACCCTTAGGATTCTGGGTGCTCTTTCTATCGCTTTCACTTGGCCTCCAAGTTCTCCACTCAGTGATGCTGAAAGTGGTTGGCATCTTCACAGATGCTTCTTCTTCAGTTGTGCATTCTCGGGCAAGCCATTACCCCATGTCGGTGGAGAAATTGCATATATTTAGGTGGGGCTTTAGTATTAATGTTCATTAATAGAATAGGATTTTCTTTATAGAGTCATAGAGACATACAGCATGGAAACAGGCC